AATTTCCAAACAATTCATCATACTTCTTTTAAAAATCTTCAATTATTTTTTTTTGGGTACGAATTTGCATCAGAAATTCTCCTAAGTAGTTGAGTGTTTGCAACTCCACATACATCACACCCTAAACTCATTAAAGAAATTAGAAATAAGTCACCAGAGAGAATGAGAAAAGCAAATGCAATAAATAGTGAGCCATCATGCCAATGTTTTAAAAAGCGCTAGGCGGTGCCTAAGTAGCCAGGAAGTCAAGGCTGCCTAGCTCCTAGGATGGCGCCCAGAACTTGGGCAGCCCAATAAAAAAAAAATGTTTTTACAGTCTAACTGTATAAATATAATCGTATAACATATAAGAATTCAGGATTCAGGGCACATCAAATGTATTGTACACAAGTCCACAAAGCACACACACTCCTCCATACTCCATAACCAAAACCATAAGTCCATATCCAATTATCTCAAAATAATCCAAGCAACCAAAAAAAAATCACTCTCATTGATTGCTCCATCTCCAAACTTCTACCTCTAAGGTGTTTCCAATGTATCAAAATGCGCTAGGTAGGTCCTAGGCAGTCTGAGGGGTCCAGGACGCCCAGCACCTAGGCGGGCGCCTAAAATCTAGGCGGCTGTTAGTTGAAATTTGAAAAAAAATAAAATCCATACCAAATTATTACTAATGTAATTCTATATTCTAAGTTGAAAAAAAAAAAGGTAGACGTTGAGAAGAGAATTTTGATAATCCATATTGTTAAAACAGTAAACTGTAAAACCATACAAGTGTAGGTAGGATATAAAAGTCAACACTCAACACAAGAGAAATTTAGAAAATATACAATATAACAAAAATCAACACTCATGATTCAACACAGCAGTCAACAGACTCAACACTCAGCACCAAGAGACAAGAGTCTTCAGTCGTCGTCGTCATCATCGTCATTATAATCAAAAGAAGAAATATGAATAGGGCAAGCCTCATCATATGCATCAAAGTCTAGGCCATCATCATCAGAGTCATCTCCGTCTTCAATATAATACACGTCGTCCTCTGTTTCTTCTTAATCTGCCTCTTTCTCCTCCTCTTCTTCTACCTTCTTCTTACTAGTCAGTGCAGATGAGGCTCTAGGAGTCTTGGCTACTCTACCCTTTTCTTTGTACTTATCTGAACTCAAATATTGTATAATTTCCTCCTTGGTAGCCTCAAGAATATTTTTACAAGGGGCAACATCCCCCTTAATACCGGCAAGATATTTTTAAACTAGTAAATGCCCCTATTAATATCATTTCCACAATAACTACATTTAATAAGATTTTTATCACTTGGATTCGAGTTATAATCATACTTCCAACCCGGATCACCACTCCGTCCAGAACTTAGAGAAGAATACTTCCATAGAACAAGGCTTATTTTCATTCTTTTCTGGTTCTTCAAAATTCAAAAGATGTCGAGTCTCATCCCGAACTGCTTCAGGAACCTTTATACAAGAAGCAACATTACCTATAACACTAGCAATGTATTTTTTGAATCGACTAATACCCCATTGGTATCTTTTTCACAAAAATTACACCTTATACAAGTTTTATCATTTGGTTTTGGGTTATACCCATACTTCTAACTTGGATCACTTTTTCTAGGAGTAGCAGAAATAGATTTATGACAAGAATTTTGTTCTTGTTTGTGTTTTACATAACTTATAAATTGTTTAATCTCCTCTCTGATAGCTTCAGGAATATTTTTACAATGGGCAACATCCCTCTTAATACCGGCAAGATGTTTCTTAAACCGATTTATGCCTCCTTTTATATATTTTTCACAAAAATTGCATCTAACGTAATTTTTGTCATTCGGATTCCGGCTGTATCTATATTTCCAACACGGATCTCCACTCCGACTAACTCCTGCAGAAGGCATCTCAAAACAAGCAATCTAAAAGTTGCACTTACTTTGGTTGCTCGAACTCCAAACTTTGAAAAACGCTTCGATGATTCAATCTAATAAAATGCAGTTTTTTTTAGGTTTCTTTCTCTCTAAAAGGGTTTCTTGGGGTTTTAAGTTTCAAATGAACCTAAAACACATCTTTCTAAACTTTATATATTGAAAAATAAATAAAAAAATTCCGCCTCTGAGTGGGGTGCAGGCCTAGGCGACCGCCCAAGGCTGGGCAATGGGAGGCAGCCCAAGGCTGGGCGATGGGCGGCCGCCCAAGGCTGGGCAATGGGCAGCTGCCTAGGCGGGTTCCGTACCGCCTAGGCAGCTGCCCAGGGACCACCGCCCATTTTGGCCGTCTTGGCCTGAGCGTGTCGCCCAGGCCTTCTGGACCGCCTAGGCTCTGGGTGGTCCGCGTTTTTGAACAATGGTACCTCAGGCTGAGATAGAGGCAAAGAAAGTGAAAACGAAAGAGAAGGAAGTTACCCGAAACTGTGTTGTTTGCAAAGGGAGTGGACATGACAAAAAGAATTATCCATCTCTTGCACATTCAAAGTATGAATGAACTATTGCTCCATCTTTCATAGTCTTTGTGATTTAATATGAATTCCTTAAATGTAAATATTTGAAATGGGTTTTCTTCATTTAGGTTAAATGTCAATATAAGATGCAAGAATGGGTCATGTGAGAATATGGAACATGATCAGTAATGGTAATTAAATTGTATTGCATTGAAACTTTTATGCTTATGTGGTTGTATCCATGTCAATGACAATGTAGAACATAATGAGTAATACTATAAATTTAAAGTTTATACCAACTGATGTTGTTAATGCAGTATTGGAGTTGTGGATGCAACGGCTGCTGTTCTTTTTTATAAAAAGTTGGCAGGTAAATAATATTTGTTATCCTGTAGTTTATTCATAACTTTACCTTTTTTAAGCAAAGTGGTACTTCTATCCGTTCTTGTATTACTTGCTGATGGTCTTATTGTTGCAGTCACCAATTGATGGAGGACTTCACATTTCACTAAATGATCATCCATACAACCATACATTGATTCTTTTTAGAGACCTACATTGATCATCCAAACAACCATACATTGATTCTTTTTAGAGACCTACATTGATCATCCATACAACCATACTATGATTCTTTTAAGAGACCTTGGGCAGTCTACCCATAGAATAACTACTTTCGGATCTCTTACAAGACTTTAATTCCTTGTATTAAATTTGTGATTATAATCGGAGCATTTTATTTGTGTTTCCATGCATATTTACTTAATTGTGGAATTCGCTTACTGCAAGTGTGCATGCTATTTTATGGTAGTATCATAGTAGAAACAAAAACATGATTTTTTTGCTTTGTTAAGTTTTGAAGCTTATGTGCATAGATATTCAATAAAAATTACTTCCCTCACACATTATGTGAAAATGTGTGCAGTATCGGCAAATGAGACAGAAAGAGCAAGATCGTCTTGCAAGAATGGATGTCGACTATCAGAGGAGGAAAAAAATTGCAGAGTTCAATACGAGACGAGAAGAACGGATAAAAGCTGCGGAAGAACAGACTGCATAGAAGAGATTGAAAAGGCAAAAGAAGAAGCAGAAGAAGAAAGAGAAAAAGTGTAAAGTGGTTACTGCAGAGGACCAAGACAAATCTACTGCAGAGCAGGAACCTTCAGATAGTGATAATTCTGATGGTCAAGAGCTGCACTAAATTCAATTATTTGAGCTATCATTCCATGATGTATCTTAGGCATCCATCTTTTGCCGTCTTCTAGCATAACATTGTGCAAACGCACCAAAACTCTCCTACTCATGAGTGAACTCTGTGTTTGTTGAAAAACCTTAAGTGCTTTTTGTTTCTTCTATAGTTCTCGAGCTCTGACTCTCAAGTGCATATAACCTTTTTCCTCTTTCTTCTATAAGCATGTGCATGTGGTATAGCTCATCCAACGAGATTCTTCCTGTTTGCTTTAACATCATCAAAAAAGTTTGGATCTGGAAGTATGTATACAATTTATTTCACTTTGTTATGTTTACACTTTCACTATGTTTACCCTTGAACCACATTTCGAATTACTGCTTATGTGCAGTGCCATCCAAACACTTTATATTTTCCTTCGTATCATGTGTCGATACGTGTCAATACTTAGACAGGAGTTGATACACAGTAATGTAACTTCACTAGATGTATCCAAGTCATTGGCAATGCAAAATTGGTTTGTTTTGTGTTCATTGGCAATGTAAAATTGGTTTGTGTTCATTGGCAGTACGAAATTGATTTGTATTGTATTTCTCACACCTCTTTAGCGAAATTAGTTTGTGGTGTGTTCTTAAAAAAAATTTTAAAGAACTTTTAGAAAATAAGAGAAGACTCCAAAATCCCATAAAGTTAATCAAAACAGAATTAAATTCTGGATACCTAGAAAATCTCAAAAAATCAATTTTATTCATCCATTTAACAAAGATTTATTACATGCATTCACGCGACTAAATCTGGTCCTGAAACCCCAACTCCTACCACTCTAACAACAAATATTTAAGGTCAACTCCTTGAGCCAAAAATAGGCAACAATCATGAAATCCAGAAATGACATAGAACCATGCCAAAAAGAGATTCATTCAAATCGTATAGAGAATTTTAAAAAAAAAAACTTCGAATCATATAAAGAACTAAGAGATTTTTTAAAAATAAAACTTCGAATCATATAAAAGAATTACAGTAATCACTCACAGATTCCAATAACCAGCTCGTACCAATATCCTAACTTTCTCGTTTAACTCGGTACCAAATATAATACAACAAGAGGTTCTACGCTTGTTTGGAGATGGAACTCAAAACTCAAGAAGTATCAAACTACATGCGTTCATGGGATATTTTTAGAAAATTTTAAAAAAGAAACAAAGATTTATTTGAATAAAATATGATACAAATGTAGGCCCTACAAAAGGACTAGGTCCTATTTTCAAGTCTATTGGATTTTAAAGTTTGTATTGTATTTCTCATACTTTTTTAATTTTCGTTTTGTATTGAATTTCAACTACAAGATGAACAATAATAGGAGAATGAGTTGAAATCCACAATGGAAATAATTACATTAGTAAAAAAGCAATCCTAAAAAACTATCATATGTTTCGAATAAGGACTACAAAAATATAAAAGAGCACAAGCAAGCATACATTTATTATACACATGAAATACAAAAATTATTGTAAACACCCAAAGGCACCAAGTAAGAATTGTTGCAAACACCTTATGGCACCGAGTATCGTATCATGACCAACACTTATTTCTTGATTGACCATGACACGTTCTTGTGATTCATGCATGGATTCCACTTTTGTGTATTGTGATGCCTGAAATTAATATTTTGCACGGCAGTAACATATTCATCACAACATTGGAAGAACCCACATAATAGACATTCATAGAACATCATGTTTGGGTTATTTGAGCTTGCCGATGCTTTCGTAGCACAATTTATATTGCACTTAGGCCATTGTCGAAGTCTATATCCTCGATTACTTGTAAAATCAGATGACATTGTTAGGGCCTACAATACTAGCATCAGAACCATACTGTGAAGGACGAAATAAGTATAAGTATGTATTTCAAGCACATCATAACATTCATTGCAAATATGTCAATAAAAAGAGTACATTGAAAATGCAGAGATCATGACTAATTGCAATTGCGAAGCTAAATATGGAAATATTTATTGACTTCGCTAATGAGTATAGCATTGCGTATAGCAAATGCAAAGCTAAAGATAGGAGGGCTACGAAAGAGAGGGAGAGTTTTCCTAGAGAGAGAGAGGGGAGAAAAGAAAAGCCACATGGTGCGAGTAAATATGTTAATGCAAAGCTAAAAATGCGAGGGAGAGTTTTCCTAGAGAGAGAGAGGGGAGAAAATAAAAGCCACATGCTGCGAGTAAATATGTCAATGCAAAGCTAAAAATGAGAGTAAATATGTCAATGAACATACTAATTCAATACGGACTTCAAGCACATTCTCACATTGAGAGTAAATATGTCAATGAACATACTAGATTGAATATGCAAAGCTCATTAAAAATTGCAAATGCAAAGCTAAAAATGAATTAATTGACTTTACTATGTATAGCATTGTGTTAAATTGACACAAATTAAGACCTAAATTTGTAATAAGATTACAATACAGATATCCAACTCCTGTATTTAAGAATTTCATAACAGAGCTGAAAGTACAAAAACTTTACCCATTAGCATCCAACAAAGTCAATAACCATGGATATTATCTCCAGTACACCAAAACTATATCCTAATTTTAGTCGCACAATTTACATCACAGTAAATCAAAATTTAAGTTTCCACAAAAATTGGACATGAATTCTAATAACATATATGTAATAGTAATACTCTTGTATTTAAGAAATTCAGTTTAAAAGTTAGAATAGCTGGTGTTTCTAAAGAAAAGAAAGTCTAGAGTTTCTCAAAAAAAAATCAGAACTGGCACAAATTAAGACTTAAATTTGTAATAAGGTTACAATTCAGATGTCCAACTCGTCCAAAGGCCCATTAAGCTAATAAAAATTTGAAGGTCCTTAAAATAAAGAACAAATGAATTAATTAAATTTACTATGTGTGTTAAATTGACACAAATTAAGACTTACATTTGTAAGAAGTACAATACAGATATCCAATTCCTGTTTTTCCAAATTTCATAACAGAGCAGAAAGTACAAAAACGTTAACCATTAGATCCAACAAAGTCAATAAACATGGATATTATCTCCAGTACACCAAAATTATACCCTAATTTTAATCGCACAATTTACATCACAGTAAATCAAAATTTAAGTTTCCACAATCAGCTAAGGGTTTTTTTGCATTGGAAAATAGGAGCAAACCCCATCTACCTAATTTACAATTCCCAAAAAACCGGAAATAGGAATCACAATCAAGAGCATCAACACATTCCCGAAAATGAGAATCAATGTATTCCTAAAAAGATTTTGTTTGCAGAGAGAGAGAATCAATGTATTCCCGAAAATCAACGGAAGGTTTTTTTGCAGAGGGAGAGAGAGAGGGGAGAAGGTATGGGAAAGAAGATAGAGAAAGAGAGGAGGCACGACATGCAAGGAGATTGGGGGTTTTTTGGCAGAGGATTCAGCTGCTAGGTGGGAGGGAGTGTAGGAATGGGGAGACAGAGGGGAAATGTGGGAGAGAGAACCCTAGAGGTGGAGATAAAGAGAGAACCACATGTACCTGTAAATCGTGATAGAGGGGAGATGGCCCGTTTGCAGAGAGAGGTGGCGCAGGCAGTCGCTGTGAGAGAGATAGCGCAGGCGGTGGCTTCGTGCTGAGACGTAGAGAGAGGGAGAGGTAGAGCGAGAGACGGGGTTTTCCCCTGGTTCAGCCAAGAGAGAGAGAGCGAGAGAACGAATAGATAGAAGGAGAGGTAAACCGACAGACGGGGTTTTCCACTGGTTCATCCAAAAGAGAAAGAGAGAGAGAGCGAGAACGAATAGATAGAGAGACAGAGGGAGGATGAGGGGTTTGAGAGAGAGCGGATGTTTACCAGAGTGAAGATTCATTTTTTGAATGGCTTTTGGGAAACCACAGGAAGCAATTTTACTGTCGATTTTACCTCAACAGATCCACGCCGTTGGGCGCACTTGGGAGTTACACGTCAGGGGCGTACACGAGCATTTTGATATCCGGAAGCATTTTGATATCCGGAAGCGGCTAGGGTGAGCCTATCAAGTTCAATGGTTCAGATTGAATTTGGATCGATATAATTAAATTTTATTTTTTAAAAAAATTCAAATCATTTGAAATTTTAGATGAATATTATTCTCATCAAGCCGCATCCAATAGAAATATAAAAAAAAATAATCCGTAAAATTTAAAATAATTAAAATACCTTCAAAAATTTACAAGGGTATTTTTATCATTTTGTTTCATATAAAATATTTTTTTAATATTTTTTGAATATTCACCTATTTTTTATCAACACACGTCTAAAATTTAAAGTAATTCGAATTTGTAGAAAAACAATTAAAATTCAAATACTATTAGGCATCCATGATCGTAAGATTGGCCCAGATTCAATCTAGGCCATTGGGCTCATTTTTTTTTTGTGAGCCTATTTGCTTACAGAAGCTTTTTTCCTATATATATATATATATATATATATATAGTATAA